TATGATCGATGGAGAATTAAAAAAGAAAAAAAAAAGATGTAAAGTAAATGTAAAATTTGAGATGCTATTGATCTGTGGCTCCAGAGGAACCAGATGTTCTGACTGTGTGGAGTCCCAAGGTGGGTTATTTGGACCCAGTCTACCTCACTGATTTAGCGGGAAGTGACTGCTTTGTATGAAAACTGTTAACTGCTACTGTGGAACGGGGGGAATGTTTTTATGGGCTTAGCCTTTTCGGACAAGCAGGGAATCTTAAGCAGCAGGTTTGCTCTATCTACTCTATGCTGATGATGATTTACAGTAATGAGCCAACATAATTATTCATGAGTTATTTATATAGAGGAAATATATGACAGTTTTGATAAGATGTTGCATAAAAAAATCACAATCAGAAGTTTTGCGGGGTGTCCTGTATACCACCAAATCATCCTAGATGTTGATGTAGCTGCTTCTTTTTTTTGTACTTTTTATTTATGCTTCTCAAAATTATGCTATTAGCTGTGTGAAAGCACAATAATATCTACCTTTTTTTAAGTTGCTTAAATGAGTAATGTGTGAGTGAATGGCTCTAGGATTGCAGGTTCAAAATTAACATTTGCTTGTCACTTCATCCATAGAAGTTCCACTTGAAAACCAGGAGGTGAATGCATGACTACTGTCCCATGTAATGCTTTTTATTTGCCAGCAACTCAGCCTGTTCACAACTCAACCATAAACTTTGAATCATGTCTCTTCCTCTGTGTATTATTTAGTAGACTGTTGTTAAACTTTACTGTAGTATGCCTTCCTCTGCCTGAGTACAGCCTGCAGTGTTTCTGTTTCCCGCTGTTTTGTGCTTTTCTAGTGCTGGTACTGTCCTCTTGAGGCTGAACTGATGGCAGGGAAAGACTTATTGGGAAAAAGGGCATTTGTTTTCATTTCTATGTGAGATAAATGAAATAAGTCTTTAAAGGGAGCTTTACTAAAACTCCACCTTCCCATACTACTTCCTCCTTCCCCTTAACCTAAGACCTCACATGATTTAAAAATGCAACATTGTACAAACTGTATATATAGTATATGCATTAGGGGTCAGCAACTGTTTATCCAGCCCCTTTGTAATCAAGAAAGTCAAATGTGTAGAGAAATAAAATTGGGGGGGCAGGGGTATCAACCACTGGATATCATTTTAACAAAGATAAAGGTGTATATAAATATAAATATATGTAAAATGGCAAACTAATATCTTTATGTATATGAACCAGAGTTTTGCATTTACTTGTTTTTTCTATTAGTGTTTTGCTATAAGCTCTCAGAGACAAGTTTGTTAACATAGGTATGAGAAGAACTGTGGTCTTCTCCAGTCAGTCACGACAAGAAGCCGTGGGGATGGAAAAACTGTTTGGGTCCATGTGGACGGTCGTTTATTAGACATGAAAATCACTTCTTGCATAAAGCAGTACAATGGTGCATAGCATTTGTATTTATGTAATATTGTTTGTGTTTATTTTTCTTTATTTATGCTACTGCTTGTTGATTACCAAAACCTGTCCCTTAATTAATCACAATTGGATTAATATACTCTTGAATGGAAAATCTTGAATTCCCTAGAATCTTGTTAGTGTTTTGCGTTTTAATATCTTCCCTATAGAAGTGAATGTGTTGGTAAATCTTGTGAAATGGTCCCTTGGCCTAATGTATGTTATGATGTAATACTCAAAGTTAATCCAATACTTAACCTGGTAATGAATTGCACTCATAGTATAATGGAGTGAGTTTTTTTTGGATGTTTCTATTTCAAGGGAAGACCATGACAAGACATGCCATTCACTGGATTTTAGCCTGAATAATTTTTAACTTCTTTGAATCTTAAGTTCTCTGCAAATATTATAATTTAATAAAGTTTGCTCAAATTAACTTTTTTTTTTTTTTTTTTTTTACTTCAATACTTTTTAAAAAGATATTGCATCTGTACAGCAGAGATACTTTTAGGGAATATGAATAAATATCATTTTTTATTGTATGTGCCATGTTTTGTATGGATATTATTTTGAATTGTACATATTTTTTTCAGGAAGCCAGAGGTTGCATCTCTTTATATACAGCTTTCCCACTCCCTTTTCCCTTCATTTATTTTTTGTCTGTTTTTGTTTCTTGTAAAGGAAAATAAAATGCATTTTAAATGTGTTTTTTTTTTCTTAACTCTAAGCAGCATTGATGCTGAACTTGAAAGATCATTCTTGGCTTTTTGAAACAGTACTTGTAAAAATTAAATTGCACTTGATTTATTGTGGAGCTTTCTGCTACTTGGCATTCATTAGCAGATGAACTTTGGTCAGGTTGTCATGGAGATGGATACAATAAAATAGAAGCCTGTGGGAAGAAAAAAAAAAAAAAAAAAAAACATAACAAAGTCAATACGCGGGATGGACTAGTGGCTAGGATTCAGCGCTCACCGTTGTGGCCCGGGTTCAATTCAGGGTTGTTAGGAAGGGCATCCGGCGCAAAACACGTGCCAAACTTAAACATGCGAGTCGTCGGTGTGACGACTCCTAATGGGAGCAGCTGAAAGTGACAGACATATACGTAAAGGAGAGGTTCACAGTCTGTGAAGACTGTGAACACAATGCAGTATTACAACGGGTAGTACTGTCAATATTGAAACAGGCTTTATTTGCTGGAATCATGTTTACACTGACCACTAAGAGAGCTCTTCCTTATAGGCTGTGATGGGCAACAAGAATGCACAGTCCTGGGGAGACCATGTTTTATGCAAGAAATGCATGGAGAGCACTCCTCTAACTGCCAGTATGAACAAGAGCAATGATCATTTAAAGCCTGTTGTTTTAAGACAGACTTGGCAATGTGTGAATGCATCCTTCAATTCAATACAATTCAGTTTTATTTGTATAGCACCAAATCACAACAAAAGTCATCTCAGGACACTTAAAGCAAGGTTTAGGCCTTACTATTATTACAGAGGAAAAATCCAACAAATTCCCCTTGAGTAAGCACTTGGCGACAGCAGAGAGGGAAAAACTCCCTTTAGTGGAAGACACCTCCGACAGACCCCGGCTCTTGGTGGGCGGCTTTCTGCCTCGACCGGTTGGAGTGGATAGAGACACAAAAGAGAAGCAACAAGACAACAAAAAACAATCACTGAGTAGGTTGATGTGGCTGGTGGCTGCTCATCAGAAATATAGAGCTCCAGAGCCAGGGCTGCCTGCAGAAAGGTACAGGAGGAGAGAGAGGACACACTATGGAAGAGAGGTGACACATAGTGACATGTAATGCTGGCAAATAGATGCATAGACAGAAAAGGGGAGGGGAGGAGAGAAACTCAGAGCATCATGGGGCCCCCTGGCAGCCTAGGCCTATGGCAGCATAACTAAGGGAAGGCTCAGGGTCACCTGATCCAGCCCTAACTATAAGCTTTATCTGACTCAGATTCCACACAATGACACGTAATGGTGGCATACAGCTCATGGAGAGAAAGAGGACAGGAGAGAATGGGTAAGGGGACGAGAGGAGAGGCGCTCAGAACATCATGGGCAGGCCCATTCTAAGCTAGTTGACCTAAAGTAGCATGTTATATTTGGAAATTGGCAAGTACTTCTGTAACATAGGTGCTTAAGTAATGCAGGTGTATGTTATGACTCAAAAATGAGCCGATGTTGAGGTAAAACTTGAAATTTGTGAGCTTTATCTATAAATCTGGTAACAACCACAACATGGTGCAGGTGCAGTAAACAGGAAGTGAATACGATTACCGCAAGAACAGGAAACGGCAGTCCTCCAAGGGAGCCCACAGAACTTTGTTTGCACACACAAAAAAGTCCTTATGTTTTTGTAATCTTTGTATGCAACTTGTGACTTTTCTAGAACTGAGGTAGCTGTTGAGAGACAATGAAAACATCTTCAATGAACGGCACCGTTGTTAAGTCACAGATAAGAAAAAGAGGAATTTATTGTATATGTCTATATACACGTTTAACCTAATTCTGAAAAGATCTGCACATGATTTTTGAAATCTTGGAAGTATTACTAATGAACAGAATGTCTGATGGTCATATACCCATGGCAACAAACCGAACATGTACAGGAGAGTTTTGACAATTTTGGTTTGACTGACAGCAGTCTCCCACATCCCCTTCCCCACTCTCCTCTGCCTGCTGAATGTCTACCCATGTTAACAATAGCAGCAACATTTCTGGGGCACATAGCCAGCAATCCAAATGACAAATAAAAGGTAGGGAGAGGGAAACACGACTCTTAAGATCTTGTACCTCAGTGCAGAAGACCCAGTGTTTGAGACGGCATGCAAAACGGACACTAACATGACACATGGCTTCTGGATCAAGTAATGACAATGAACATTAAAGTCCATGTGGACGTTAACAGTGCAGAGCCCAATGGTGACAAGCGTCAGTGTAATACTTTCATAGTCTTGTCCACAGTCAACAAAGCAGGGTGAAAACATTCAGTTTCACTTTCCAGCATGTTTGTCCTTGAAGGGAAACCTCTGAACTACTAGCTGTACTCTATGTTCCTTGTGAGTGAACTGTCCATTGCCTTTACGTCTGAATAAACAGCCATTGGCAGTATCAGAATTCAAGGTTGACATGATGCTTCTAAATATTCCAGTGTCAGTGAGAAAGATGTCACCCCGGAGGACGTATGGAGAAACAAAACTACATAACAAACAAACAAAAGGATATTGCAGCAAAATTATCTGAGATCAGTAGTACCACCAAACAGCCATGGGAGGAGCCAAGTGTAAAACAAAATTCCAGCAGATGACACAGACCATTTCCTGGCACAGTTAGAAACCATGCAGTCAGATCAAACAACAGACCTCTGAAAGTACCATTCAAGAAAAAATAAAAATCACTGTTTAAATGTCGCACTGGTGCCTATGGCATGAAAAGAAAAAAAAATAATAATCACATTTTATATACAAATCATATGTACCTATCATCAGTAGTGTCTAATGTCAAAAAGAAAAAACACCCATTATGATGTTTTTAACTTTTTTTTTTTTTTTTAAGTATTTCACTGCCATTTCATACACCTCTTATTTGCTCAGGTGTGCATGACATCATTGCCTGTTAAAATTGCCACATTTGAACCGAATGTCTTATGAAATGAATGCAACCCCTTAACCTAACATGTGAAAGATGAAGACAACATTAATTTACATATCAAGACTCTGGCTTCTCACACCTCATCTCACAGTGTTCATCAATATGACATAAAAACTATCGAATAAATAAAATTAAAACCATCCCAAACATGATCCCTGCCACATTTCAAACTAACACCAGGACTGGACCACATCCATTCTGTGATATCTGCGGGTCTCACGTGTGACGAGGAAGCTCCAGTTGAGTGCAACTAATTTCTGTTTGTACGATATTTTCAAGTGAGGGATTAAAAAGCACACTAACTGTTCATGCTCAATAACTGAATTTGTCTAATGAACTAGAGCCAAAGGACACCCTAACATCTTAGAAACATGCTAGTAGTCCAGACACCTTTTATACACACACACACCCATACACAACTAGGAACTACTGTTCCTTCAGTCTCTTTCCCCCTCACACACACACACACACACACACACACACAGCAAAAGACTGTGATGTTGCATGACTGACAAAATAAGCCAAATGTTATTACATTTTAAACCCACAACATGCTCTACTCTTCTGAACAAGGTTAATCTGTCATGGGACAATTCCAGAGAGGTAAAAAAAAAAAAAAAAATTCCTGCCACTGCACAAATATTTCTGACATGGGAAGAAAAGGTTGAGTTCGATTATATTAACAGTGGTAGTGCTGTAGTGTTGTGGCCCATGAAAGGTGGGGGAGAGAAAAGTCAGGGGGTAGGAGTGATTTTCAGTAGTTTTGGCTAAAAAGGTGAGGTAGGCCTTGTCACATCTTGGAGTGTGGCTTTAAAACTGGCAGCGTTTTCTTTTGCAGACTGTCTTTAGTGTTTGTTTCCTATAGGAGTGTGGTCTGGCTATGCATCTCCAGTGCGTCTTTTTTGCCGCCTGGTTGCTCACATCTTGACGTCCTCCTCCACGCTGAGCTGAGACAGTGTCTTCTTGATGCGCAGGGCCGTCAGTCTAGCTGCACCATTGCTGTACCAACACTCCCTCATGATCTTCCCCATCACACGCAGCGACTGCACAGGGGAAAGAACACAGGTTGGGTTTCCAAAAAATGTGTTCTAGTCTAAAACAAGATGTTTGAAAAAGTCTGTTGTTAAAGCTGGCAGATAAGGATGACTAAATACTGCTGACTTATTATAGGATATAGGGAACTCAGACCCTGAAATCTGTGCTGTCAGACTGTCAATGCCCAACAGCCACTGAATGTAATCTTAGAAAACCATCCGTGTAGCTGTGTGTGGATAGTGTGAACACAGTATAAAATACCTCGTAGCTCTGCCACCAGTTAGGCACACTAGGCCTCAGTTTCTGGTCACACACCACCTTCCTCATCTCTTCTATAGACGGGTCAGAGGGAACAAGGTCATAGTAGGGCAGCTGGTACTCCTCGTGGATACCTGATGGACACAGCAGAGCTTTCTCACTCTCTGGTGCATTAGACCGTTTCATTCACATAAAGAGCCATCTGTGGTTTTACCTCCTGCACTGCAGCGACGTGCAATCTCCCAGTACACAAGGCCCAGCGCGTAAATGTCAGCACATTTGAAGGAGTCAAAGTGTTTCATGTTGATGGTTTCATCCAGAACTTCTGGAGCCATATACCTGGGGTAGACACAAAGGGCAGCAATGAATATTAATACCAAAATGTGCATTTTAATAAGCCTTTTCAGTAATCTCATTTAGCAAAATTCAAGCTTCAACAAGTCAGTTTTTTGTAAATTTTGTAATAATATTTGCCACTGATCAAAAGTCTTAGGCCACAATGTCAGGACAAATAAATATGTATCACTAGGTTTCTTTGAAAGGTCCAAAAACCCTTGACAAATTGATCACTTTGGCTAAAATATTCAAAAAATTACAAGTCAGGCACTTGTCCACAGTTACTTACTCATTTCGGTATATTAGAAGAAAAATTACATACTTCCATGTATTTAAACAAAAGCATAAGGAGAGAGATGTTTCGTTATTGTCAAATTCCATTAAAAAGACCAAAAGCAACAAAGTCTCTTCATTCTTTCCAACTTTCCAAACCTGTTTGTGCCACTCGGCTCCAGGCTCCTCGGATCCCACAGCAGGACAAGTGATCCATTTTTAAAAAGGCTAAATCATTTCCTAGGACAGCTGGACACTGCAGTCTTTTAGCAAACACTAACAACTTGTTCATTTGTTGGGGACAATTTTTCACCTTAGATAAGTAGTTGTTAGTAAGAACCTGCAGCAGCAGGACAGTGTTGGATGTGGGACTTCTACTACAGTGACCATGTTCACTGTAATGAAGACATGTTTGACAATAGTGCGGCTCAATTTGTTTTTGAAGGTCTATGGCTGTTTCAACTACACAGACAGTACCTGTTACTAGGATCTATTCACTGCTGCTTTTGATCTTTTCATGGGCTTTGTCGACAATAAAAATTAGCCTTCAATGTCCTGCAAGATCCCTTATGTGCGGCTCTACTTGTGTGCATATGAGAAAATGAGTTTGGAAATATTTACCTCTTTGTACCCACACGCTGGTTTGGTGCTATATCAATTGTGTCTGTGATGGACTCATGGCGGACTGCCAGGCCGAGGTCAGCTATGGCGCACATGCCATTCTTCTTAACCAGGATATTTTTAGACTTGAGGTCACGATGAGCAATGCCAGGCTTACCTGCAGGAGACAAAATAACCTGTCATTACATTTGCATCAAGAGCTCAGCAGTAACAGTACATGCTAGCTGAAAGTAAATATGTAGTATGCACTTTCATATCGCTGCTGTGTTTGTTTCATCATTGTCTGCCATGTTGTAATGCAACAGCTGATCTCACCCTGAGTGCCAAGGATCTCCATGTGTAGATGTGCCAGACCACTGGCAGCTGACAGTGCCAGTTTTATCATGCCCTCAATGGTGACAGAGTAGCGATTCAGGTAGTCAAAAAGGGAGCCGTGCTCATGATAGTCTGACACCAGCCACAGCTGAGTCCATGTGCCATTGTCTGATAAAAAAGCCAAAAAAAAAAACAAAACAAAACAATTAGTGTCAGAGAACATGCAGTTCACCTGTAGGAGAACATGGTATTTCTAAACATCAACAATGTGAAAACGTGGTCAGTAAATGAAGGGAATGTTACTTTCACAGTATGTTTTGGCTAAAACGTGAATGGTACAACTCTCCATGATCTAACTTACCCTTATTGTCTGCTGCAATGAATCCAAGAATGTTTTCATGCCGCAGCATGATTGTCTGGTAGATCTCAGCCTCTCTGAACCAGGAGCGCTCCTCTCTGGATGAGAAGATCTTCACTGCCACGTCTCCTCCTCTCCACTTCCCCCGCCACACCTCACCAAAACGACCCTTTCCTATTATCTCCTGCAGCACAATGGTCCTGGCCACTGTCCGTTGCACAAACAGGGGCAAACCTGCAGGGGGACAGCGGATAGACACAGAATTTGCAAAAAATGTTCCCTGTAGGTTTGTTTTAAATTGAAGTAGTCAGGATCATTTTCACTACTCAGTAATGGAAATGTATGGAATGACATACAGAAACTGTTTTGTTACTGCTCTTGCTCAGAAGAAAGGAACAGTCTTTCCACAAGCAAATATTTTTTTTGTCATTAAATCATTAGTTATGTCAATTCTCATTTTGTCAGCATGTACTGACCAGATCCTGAACCGGAGGTGGACATATCGTAGATGAGGTCTTGCAGCGTCTTGTCCTTGGCTAAGTACAGATGATCACATGAGGGGTCCTCTACCTCCAGCCTCTGCCTGTGGCTGTAGGCCCTCTGGTGATACTGGAATAGGAACACGCCGACCATCAATAGCATACAGAGCAGGAACACCGGCCCTGCAATGGCCGCAGCAAGCTCCACTGGCCCCCAGGAGCTTCCTGAGCCCTGCCCCACTTTTGTTGGGACTGCGGGCAAACAGAAGAGACAGAGAAGTGGTAGTAAGTACTTTAAAATCAAATGACTTGAAACAGTGTCACTGTTGAACAGAGTGAGCTCTGTTTGATGATGGAGCCTCACCGGGGACTTTCAGGTCAATACTGTTGCAGTAGTCCTCATAGCAGCAATGTGTGTTGAGCAGGCCTTCAGCACTCAGACAGTAGAAGGGCTGTCCAGGGGGGACTAGGTTGTCGCGGTTGATACATATGCGTACGTGTTGCTCCTTCCCTTGATTGTAGTAGGTGGAGGCCATGCAGGCGCCATCTGTCTCACATTCATAGCCTGTCTTCTCACAGGTTGTGCAGTTACAACGTATAGCTGCAGGAACAGACAGAGAGTTAAGTAAATAACAATTTAGAAAGTGCCATGAGGTCAAAAAAAATACCAAACGAACAAGAAAAACACCAATTTCACTTCTCTGTTTTGTCCAGCAGGGGGCAGGCTAACCCCGCAAGTTCAGGACAGGTTGCAGCAACTGTAGATGGTTGTGTCCCATTCAGCTGAGGGCATTTAGAGGCATGCAATCACAGAGCTTGGAATTGAGCAGCAGTAGCCAGACAGCCTTGAAATCAGATCCTTCACTGCAGATGAACCCAAACATGCAGGGTAGAGACAGACCAGTCCAGTGGGACAGAAAGTGAAATCCAACAAGGTGAGAAGGTTCCTGCCAAACCCCCCAAGGCAGCATTCTGCTCTGTTCCTCTCCTCCGTCTCTCTCACACTGACACAGAAAGCTGCCACTGTTTAAGCTAATGAGAAAGGAGTTTTATTAAAATGCAGCACGCTCACGCATGGGGACCTATTAAAGCTGACAATGGAACTTCAATCGCAATAAAAATCAATCTGCACATAGTATCTGTGCCAGAAAGTCCACACAAATCTGCCACATCTAAAACAAAACCTGCGTTCATCTGGACAATCAGAGAGCAAAAAACTGAAAAGTGCTTGGATTTGGTGTGAAATGTGATTCTGAGTCACAGCACACATGCTTCTCATTTAGAGTAAGGTCAGAATGAAAGGCTTCTCCCAAGGTTTTTTTTTTTTTTTAACTACCAAAGAGAGTGCAAAGCGGGACTAGGCAAGGTTAGATGGCTGTGAGACTGTGGAACTCATTTTCACATGGGAAAACCACAGGAAAGCTGCTAAGCTCAACTGAATCCCAGTCACTGTTAAATGACAACAGGGCTGTGAGTGAACCATGACAAAGCTGATCCTTGGTCAAAACAGAGGCTGGACCACTCAAGACTAATCATTGTGGACTCAGTGAAGACCATCGTACCAACAGAGGAGACAGAAAGCAGAGAGGAATTTCAATCCTTATTCTTTTACATACAAAAAAGAGGCTCAGCATCGGTTGGACCACTAACAATGTCTGGCCCAAAGGAAAGAAACAATTTTACGAGTGGAACGCTTCCACTAATCCTCTGTGCCTTATCCTGAGGGTTTCTTTGACCATATGAGCTCAGAGATCCTCACTGTTTGTACCAACTCTGTGAAAAGGTGTCAGCTGATTTAAAAAGGTTCTTGAACCAAGTTGTCACACAGGAAGGCTTTTATTCAGTACAGGAGAAAAAAAAAAAAACAACAACTCAACAATGACTGATGTGCTGATTACGCCATTAGCATGGAACATCCAAGTGGCCAAAACCACAAACTCTGGTGTCACAGGGTTTCCCAAAACGAACTTCAGAATTCTGCGTGGGAGCATTTTTTTTGCATGTAGCGTGCATATGGTATGATGTGTCTACGCTTGTGGTAACTGGAAATATGGAACATTTGAACCAGGGTTCTGGTCATGTTTTTTAATCTGTTTGGTATTTGCATGTAACTTGCTCTCCAGACAGTGAGCGGGAAAGCGGCAGGAACTCTTGGCAGAGTCTGTCCAAACTCACTAGAATTCGCATGCAGTTGGAATTTCCTGCAGATTACACAGAGGTGAAGCAGGCGGGGGTGATAAAGAGTGAAAAACAAGCCTTGTGCTTCAACATTAATAGAGTTTAGCTAAGTATAAGAGATGACAATAGTTAACAGCAGGCAGACAGAAAGGTGGGCAATGCTCAATACCCATCATCAAATTCGGACAATTTGAAACCGCCTTTCCATCAGGCTTCTCTCTTATATGCATGCTACTCAATGGTTCTCAGTAGAACAAATTGATTTTTAGGTAAAGACTAGACAGGAGCCATTTTTGACAAATTCATCCTCAAAGAGAGTCACGTTTAAAAACAAAACAAAAAACTAAACCCAGCAGCACACACATTACAACCACCTGCTGTAAGAGATTGTCCTTAATTTTCCTGACAAGAATCAAATTGTAGGCCATAAAAGAATTCTTACAAGAAAAGTATTACAGCAATATATTAACAGCAGCGATCCAATGATCCCAACAGAACAGGCACATCTAGGGATGGAACCGGTTCCTATGCAGTCGATAGCTACCGGATCGAAACACAATGTGGATTTTGGTGCCACTTAAATGCCTGATGAATGAAGTACTGTATTTGCCCGCCAGTGCTGTGAAACCTATGATACAGGCAACACAAGCATCACCGCAGGTCACGTGCTAAGGCTATCATTACACTTATGCTGCATTCCATTTACCTCAGAGCCAGAAATAAATGGGAATGTTTTGTTTTGTTTTTTTAATGTCTTCAACCTTCATTTTATGCAGGGTATAAATTTCACAGTGGCCATGCAGGGATGGCTGTCGTTGACCTGGCATTTGTCCGCGATGCCTTGTATATCTGTCTGAGTTACACGACCACAGCAGCCAGTGTGCCCTCATCAGCTCTGAGGAGCGATCTCTGTAAATGACAGACAGAAGCTCATGAAGGAAACCCAACATGGCTGAAAACACACACATTCCCTTCTTGAGTCTGCCATGCATGGTTTGTGGTCTACCAAGTGTTTGGGTTGTGGCCAGGCTTCCCTTTTGTTAAAGGCAACTGTTTAACCATCATATGTGGCCGGCCTCCACACAAACACTGGGTGGACAGTATAGAGAAAATCTATGATAGAATATATAATTTTATGCAATTATAGAAATAGAAAAAAATTTAACCATAATGAACAGGTGGGCAGGTCTGAATTTTTACTGATCCAGTCACAAACACCTACCAAATTAAGGTACCTAATCACACTGAAGCAAAAATCCTATAACCCCGATAGAGTCACAAAACAGTTCTGTCACTGATTTAGGGTTCAAGTTGAGACTGCACAACCCAAACCTAAATGATATTTCACAAAATGACATAATGTAAAACCATGTTCCTATAAACAAAAAAGTATTTTCAAAACAGACATGGGGAAAAAAAAAGACACGGAACTGGTATATAATAAAGTAAGAACTCCTGGCTCACTAGCATTTACCCAAATGCCATGTTGTTTACTCTGCATATCTCACTGGATTCAGAGTAGAAGTGTTACAAAGCTGGACTTGGAGAAATACCATCAAGCCTAAATACACATATAAATCTGAGCAGAAGCCGGGTGTGTGTGGTTTTTGAGTCAACTCTGCTCTTGTATCAACATAATTGGTGGTCTTTACACTGGTCCTTTGTGTGGAGATTAAGACAACATGAGGAGGGATTGGACTGGCCCTGCATGAACAAAATGCAGAATGGAGTGGGGGAGTACACTTCTGTGTACAGCAGTGAGGTGGGATGGGTGGCACGCAGGGGACAGAGCAGGGTGAGCAGGAATTACCCCGATGTTTGGGCGTTGCTCTGGGCCAGACAGGATGGGAGCTGGTCCCATATTGGGTAGGACAATATGGAGAGGCAGGGGCAGAGGGGGTAACAAGCAGGACTCACAGAGCCCCCAGCTGGGACTGAGGTCTGCCCGAGTGACCAGCTGCAGCTGTCATTAAAACCCAGTCTAGACTTTGACTTACGAGAGGGGATAAATAACAGGAAAAGGGGAAAGCACAGTAAAAGAAGTGATTCATTTGTGCTGCTAGAGTGTGAAGTTCCTATCATTCCGTTCATGTCGAGACAGGAAATGGCATACACTGTGGGGAAGGGATTAATAAAGCATTGTTGCTGTAACCAGCGTCGCCTTAACTTGGACCTGACGTAAAACCACAGCACAGTCCCACTACAAACAGCTTTACACATTAACCTTGATGGCAGTGTTGTCTGAGTGGCTATACATGTGTTGTTCAGATCTACTCGTGCAGAGCAACCCTGTTAAGACTGAGGTCAACTTTCTGGCATAGTAAGATGATAAAGTCTGTGGAAAACATCGGAAGCGTGCTCAGCACAGGGTGGTGGGGTTACATAAACACAGTAGGCTTCTGGGGGCTAAGCGGCGCAGACAGGAACAGTCAGCATGTGCATATATGTACGGGGAGGAGCAGCAGCACTTCTGTGCCACAAGATCTGTGATATTAAAATGTGAGAATATTTCTTATCAAGGTAAAAGCTGTCTCGCAATATCAACGGTATGGCAAAAATGCAACCCCCTGCTGTGTTTTAATGCACAGGGGTGCAGTGGTTGGGGGGTGAGGGGTTGCAGGGGGATTATTGTAGGCGTGTACAATACAGTCTCATTGTGACAAGTCAATGGGAGTAGCTTCATTCACGTTTCCAGCCCTGGAGTTTCAGTTCTGCATTAGTTTGCCTGCTAACATAGCCTACTCTACCATAGCACCAAATTCTACCACCAGTGTGTTGGCATTGATAGATACAAAAAAAAACAAAAAACAAGCAGTTTAACATCCAGTACTAACAAAAATCCATGGTGCGTCATTATGGTGCATTAACTGTGGACCTTTGCCACTGTCCAGTGTGGTGAGGGTCAAAATAGCATCGGTCACACACAGCTCCAGTTAGAAGTTAGACATTCATGCACAGTTATAATTTCTGAAGAGACTCTTGAAATCATACAGAGAGAAGCCAGTCGGTTGAGTTTGTGGCAAAACCTTTTACAGTGCTTACATATGGTTTTTTACTACATATGATAATTCATACTCATTCATTAGAAGGTGATTAGTTTCAAAATGCACCCGCACTGTTTTGCATTTAAAATACTGTTTTTCCAGTCATATATTTTGTCATTGACATTTTCTTGAAAGAGTATTAGAATATCGTTCTCGTGAACCTAATATCGTGTATCATCTCGTCTCGTGAGCCATTTGTATTGTCACACCCCTACAGAGCACCATTATCAAAACGCACTGCCTGAAATTAGATACCATACAGATACCAGACTGAGAGCTGATCAAGACAAGCAGACGCCACCAGACAGTGTGAGTGCAACACACACACAGAAGCACACACAGACCCAACTGTGTCCTAATCAATGCTAGGGGAAGGAGGAAAGTCATTACCTTTGTCTGGATCTCAGGGTCAGATTACTGATCTGACTCTAAAGTGAAGTCTCTGGGGCTGAGGCTGCTCTACTATCTCTACCGACCACCACACTCCAAGGCTACATCCCATCCTGTCTGTCTTCTGTCCTGGATCAGTTCAAAGGCACACACATATGAGCACAGGCTCACTCTGGACTGGCTGTCGGTGCTCAAATTCCCAAACAAATCACCACTGTCTCTGTAATGCCCCGCTGTCAGGTTTTTTTGGGGCTGCAGTTAGGTGGCTGGGCATCAAACCTCAGGATGTAATGAAAGCTGGCACTAAATATCTGGCTGGGGTAGTAGCGTTTTAGCTTAGGCTGATTTAAAACAAAATGCAAAATTCTTACATTTATCTTTAAAAAAACGAACAACTTTGCATACTGGAGTTTACTGCAAGAATCACTGCTTTCAAGTTAAATACTAAGCAAAGGTCACAGTGGAGGCCTGCAATAAGCGAGGTTTAAATTTGTACTTCAAGAACTAATATCTAATCACACTACATTCCTGAAGCAAAGGATTTCTCACCAGCCACCCAAGCCTGGATCACACCAATCAAAGTAAATCACTGTCTGGGAAGTACTGAAGAAAATTTGACAAGTAAACTGCATGAGCAGAAAATTACATGGCAGAGTAAGTCTCATCTACATTCCAACAGCAGCCAAAAAACAAATCAAACACCTCTACAGAGAGGCATGTAATGGAGAATAGGTGTCAGGTTTAGCCCTTTAGCTACCAGGTCTGTCTGGGTGTACTGTGACAATAATGGCTCTCTGTTTCCAAGTTGTATCTTTTTGTCCTTTGTCTGAAACTAGCCATGCTGCTGTCTCGACCAGGGCACCCTTGGAGAAGAGGGGTTTTTCCATGGGATTCCCCCTGGTTCAATTCTAAAATAAAATAATGGTATGACACAAAAAGCAAATGTCATTTTGTCATCAACACATACACTCCAAAAGCCTTTGAACAAATACAAACTGTTGTGTCTAAATGAATGGCACAGAGAAATGGGCTGGCTCTGCGGTGGTAGTAGTCTCTTGTGGTTCAACATCAGTAATGACAAAGGCGGGTCAGTCAGAGGCCACACTGTCTGCTGTAGCAATTAGGGCTCAGTGCCTCTGGGCCAACAGAGGTCATTAACAGCACTGGTCATTATGGGGGAAAGGTAGACCACCCCAGACCAGACCAGGCTGGCTCAGTGCCACATTATAGAAACTGTTGTTAAACACAGGTTGCTAAGGAGGAGGTCTTTCCTGACATTCTATACAGGAGATGTGCAAATTCATTCGATGATAATTTAGCTGCAGAGATTCATTTTTCTAGAGCAGACCTCAACAACTGCTACACATTTAAGGAGAAAAACAAACAAAAAATACAACTTCTTCCTTTAAGCCAGGTGGTGGTACAATTGCCCCCTCCCCCCCCACCCAAACTCTTTTGACTTCACAGACACATACCTTGAACCCAAGAAGTTTCAACCTCTTCCCATGCATTCCCTTGGCTCTGATCTAATAGGTAGGTGTACACCTGTTCCAATCCAAGTAGCTCACGCTTCTGCCACATCATATTTGGCATTAAACAGCACCTGTACCAGAGTTAAGCTCTACACAGGCAGTTCCCTGAACAAGTTGAGAAGGGACTTTTTTGTTTCCAATTATCTTGTTGCTGATTTACACAGATTCTGGCAGGCCTGGTGATAACATGTGGAAGGGCTAATGAAAGTGCAGAGTTCAAGAGATAACAGAAGCTCATCCTGTAAAGGCCTTCCTATAACTTAGAAAACTACACACACACAGCTAATGCTATATCTTCATTCAGCGCCCTATAGGTGGCCATGAATAACTGAAAGTAGAAGTGGGACCATTAATAATAAAAGTACAAATTCCAGGGGTGTGAAGAGATTCCATGCCATGAGATCTCTTGATATTAAAACGCGATAATATTTCTCATCGAGGCAAACGCTGTCTCGCAATATCAGTACATAACAGAACTTCAGCAGCAGCCAGTATGACAACGTGTGAATGTACGTTCACAGTAGTGGGCATACTGACTGATCCAGCAAAAAAAGCTACTCCCTGCCATGTTTTAAGGGACAGGGCTGCGTTGGTCGGAGGGTGAGGGGTTGCAGGGGGAGTGTTGTAGGCGTGATACGGCCACAATGTAATGAGTCGACATGAGTGGCTTCATTTACGTTTCCAGCCCATGAGTTTCTGGTGTGTTTTGGTTAGCCATGCTGCTGATGTAGCCTACTCTACCTTACCACCAATTCTACCACCAGTGTGTCAGCACTGATAGATATAAAACACTGTTTAACATCCAGCACTAACAACGCATGGCGTGTCGTTATGGTGCTTTAATTGCAGCCTAAACAGTGAACAGCAGTGAATGCTCATGCTAACAAGGTAAACAAAAGTCTTCTTCCCATGGGTGTGCACGTCCTGATAGTCTCTGTGCCTTTGCTGGATGATGTCACCATCCAGTGCAGTGCAGGTGAAAGCACCATAGAAGGTCACACACATATCCTTGATTAGAAGCTACAAGCTTGTGCACAGTTATAAGGTCTGAAGAGACTCATGAAATCATACGAGTTACAGTGCTTGCATATTGTCTTTTACTGCATATGATAACTTATTCTCAGAAAGTAGAACTGAAGTGACATTCATTACAAGATGATTAGTTAAAACATTTCAAAATGCACCTGCATTGTTCTGCATTTTGTGACTTTCAGTCAAATAAAAGAAAATTTTTCCAGTCATACATTTCGTTGTTGACGAGTCCTTAAAAATGTTTTAAAAAATCGTCTTGTTCTCATGAACCCAATATTGCGTCGTCTTGTGAGCTAAGTGTATTGCCACACCCCTAACAGATTCTGATAAAGCACGAGGTCTTTTATATAAAAGAGACAGAAAATGTAGAGGGCAGGAGGAAAAGAGAAAGACAGGGACACACCCTGCCTTACGGCAGTGTAGCTAGCAGTACTCGTATCACATTGCTACTCTGTTCAATGCACCCAGACAGACTGTGTCATACAAGCATGCAATACCCATAACACCATTGACTCCTAATCCTTATGAAGTCATCAACATTCAACAGACTCATCAAAACTATGCATAAAGCATATTCTCACAAAACATACTACACTCTCCTGGAATCTACTCAAGTGTAACTACTCTCTGGTTTGTCTGGTTTTAGCCCTTGCATGGTGTAATCCATTATATTGCATGAAACCACGGCTCCACTCAGACTTGTGGCCCCTTTACACCCACCCCCCCGCCAGATGGGGAAAAAAAACCCCATCATCACCCCATCTGCTCAGGCCATACACCCACCCCCACTCTCCAAACACACATCACTGTTAATAGTAGAGTCACCCAGTCAAACAAACTGGTCACTCAGGTGTGATCACTTTCCAGCATGCCTTACATGAACTTATCAACTTTGGTGTAATGCATTATCTAAACTATGCAGGTAAGTAATATTTGTATTATTCTTGGAAGGATGACTCAACTGTTTAAAGCACAACATATACTTTAATGACAATGCAGTCATCTGAATTTTATCATTTAGTTTGTCTGCTTAGTGGCAAGTTGCAATAAGGTCAGCCTTATAATACAGCCTTCCAAATGAAAGTCTAAGAAATCCTTATGTAAAGGTACAGTGTCTGGAGCAAAGTCAAAGGATAAGTAGAAAACACCCACAAGTTTAATGCTACATCTGCCCATTTGAAACTATGGTGTGGAGCCTGTATCAGCTGCTGCAGGAGAAGGGGAGGATTCTTACTGAAGCGGCCCCATAACTATCGCCTCAAAAGACCCCACTTGCCCCATTTCCATCACAATGAACCCAGACTTCAACCCTGACTTCTGTCTGGGATAGCTGAATGCACGGCTGTTGTGACCCTATGCCAGCATTCACTTTCTGCTGGAGGCCACTAAGCAGCCTTTTCACTCTTTACAAATGGGCACCAATGGAAAAGCTGCCAGTGTTTACTCTCAAAAACACATTTCATGCACAAATTAGTTTAGGCCTTCATTCACAGACTCCCTTCTGCTCTTTCCACAATACGAGACGAAACTCTAACTAACTACACATATTTAACCAGCCAGCTATCAATCCATGGTGCTGTACCCAAGCAATAAAGATAAGCGTTGAAGTCAACAAGAGATTGTTTGGTAAATATGCTAGTGTAACAGCCATTGAGCAACAACTTCAACATCAACAACACAGTGCACATTATTATTCGTCTCTTGGTGTGCCCATACGCCATAACAACACGATTGTATTTTAGTATCCTATCTCACAAACGAAAAGCAATTATCGACAATATTATACTTTAGATAGTTCATTATCTAGTTAGCTAGCAAACATTAGCTGATGCCGCGAAACAAACAGCCCCTCCATATTGTTGTGGTGTAGCTACTTGTTCCGTGTTCAGTAACGACTAATGAGAAATAGGGTTCTGCCACTCTACCAAAATCAAAACAAACTATCTAACCGCTAAAAGCATGACTTTTTTTAACAGCGGCCATGGTTTTGGGGTCGCTAGCTACATACTGTTAACGTTCCAGAGCGCCATGACGGTGAGCGACAACAGGCGATGCCCAGTTCAGGAAAACACACATCGAGACAAAAGCCGGAGAGGTGCTCAATAGAAACTTACCATTACCGACGGCCACCAACCCACACAGGGCCAGGAGCGTTAGGGCAGGTAGTCTTAGAGCCATTTCTTGAGAATTCCCATCTCTCCGCGACGAAATGTCCGAAGTGTGTTGTTAACGACAGGACCTGAAACACAACCACAGTCCGACCGCAAACACCACACAGTGAGATACTGATACTAAACTAACTAGCCAGCCAGCCAGCCAGCCAGGCTAGTGACGTGTTTAAAGGGGTGTGTGTGGCTGTTTAAAGGGGAGGGGTGCTGCTGCATGGACGCTTCTGCCACCGAAGTCTGAACTGTGTTGTAAACAAGGGCTTAGATGAAAAGACAGGGGAGCACTATAAACGTAGAATTTCAATAAAAAGTAAAGGGAGTGTGCTTTAAGCATAAAGAAATAAATATTTGTTTTTTTAATCAAATTAACTATACGTCATACAGAGCGCAGTAAACGTTAAAACGTTTTAATTTCAAGCCAATTCTCTTCAGTGCACTCAAGGCTGGAGCCCTAGACCTCCATGGGACCCCAAGGTCCCAGGTTTACTACACATCATTTGGGTCTGCATAACTCGAACACTCATAAATTAGAAATTTGCAACACTATAGCCAGTGTTCTGTGAGGAACAGAACATTATGACAACAGTTTTAACCCTTGTGTACGTTTTCAGTGCAGTACACCCATTTTCACTTTTTATCTAAAGAAAAAAGATACAAGTAATTATTTTGGCTCATTTTGTGTGAAGAACATATATCAGAACACATTTTCAATGACCGCACACTGCACCCCCAGGTGTGAACCAATGTCTTCACTTCATACATTTACATCTCTATGCAACCAGGGCCAACAAGAATGGCAGAGAGACAAGCTAGCTGCCATCGGGACAGTGTGGGACAAGTGGGTGCACCGTCTCCCCCTGTTTTACAACCCTGGGCCTCATGTCACCATTGATGAGCAGCTGATGCCATTTAGGGGCTGCTGCCCCTTTAGGCAGTGTATGCCATCCAAACCAGCAAAGTATGGCATAAAGATATGGGCTGCCTGTGATGCCGCAACCTCATATGCTTGGAACTTACAAGTCTACACAGGGAAACCTGACGGAGGAGCCCCAGAGATAAATCAAGGGATGAGAGTTGTCCTGGACCTGACTCAGAAGCTCAGTGGACACAATATCACTCCCACCTCAACTATTGATTACAAAGAACAAGCCTGTGAAGTCTTCCAAGTTTGTGTACATGGCTGACACGTCCCTGGTGTCTGTCCTATGTGCCAAAAAAGGCAAAAATGGTACCACAGATCATGTGATGTATACGTTTGTCTGTGTTCAATGGGGCTGTGTTGTGTAGACCAAACTGGTCACTGTGTGTTCAGCTTGCTGTGCAAACTGTCCCGAATGTTTGAAATTACTGAGGTTCAAATAAAAATCAGCAGTTGTGAAAAATCTTGCTTCATTTGTAAATTTGTTGTTTTTTCCAATCGTCTAACAAAAAATTAGAATAATACAGTTGTGTAATGTAATCTAACAAAGGTAAAGGGCAAATGTAAACATCTGTTGATTATTAGAGTTGATTATTGCATTGTTTTAGGTTAGAATTCTTTGATTATGTTGAGTTACAAAGCCAAAAGATGATGCAGGTGCAGCACACCCGTGAACACCACCAGTGTAAACTAAACATGAAAGGTACACCAGGGTTAAGTCATAAGTTTATTTTCTATGCATTTAGAATATGTATATAGAATGATTTTAATATCAAAATAGTTGGTCAGATTAAAAATGGGTACATTTAGTTTATATTCAATGCAATCCAGAAAATATTTCTGTTATTTTTATCTATAGTTGTCCATTTATATTTTCTATTATCCACACTGATTATAGTGTGAGAAGTATATTTAAATTTAAAAAAAAAATATTATGGGGATATACCAAAGCACTTAAAAACTGTGTAATCATTGTAATAAGGCATTGAGTGGTCATGCTTTTTGTTAATTAAACAGTTGTGACAAAGAAAAATGAAGAATAATGAAACTGAGTAACATTATATAATACAAAAATATATAATATAATAACAAACAAAAATGTATAACGTAAATTAAATACAAATATATCTCAGTGAGGTTTTCCTGGTTAAATAGAGGTTAAAAAAAATTAAATACATTTAAATTAAAAGCAGAATATTAGTGTACTGTTATGGTACTAAAGTCACTTAAAGAAAAAGAAAGTATAAAGAAATGTACATTATTTGCTGTATAGTTGTAAAATACAACATTAACTTCCCTATATTTTCAAACAGGTGCCCTTTTGCAGCCTAATAAAATTGTTATTTTCATCTTAAAGATATCAAAAGGGAACAGCTGTTTTTTTTTCAGAAATTCAATTAATTTCTGGTTGATTGAATCTTGATTGAGGTCATTATTTAACAACGATGTATGTGTACTAGTCATTTTCCACTTTTATTGCTACTGAAAATGTAAAAATCATAAAATAAAATAAAAATCTGATGACATCTATGTTGTTGTCACTTCAAAATACAGGATTTAATGATCCAAAGGCTGGAATCAAACTGTGTCAAATTTATCACTTTTCCCTGACATTATTACTGAATCTTTAAAATCATGACATATCTTGTTTCATGAAGTAAAACATTTTCATTAAATCTTTTTAAAATAATTGTATAAAAAAGGGGGAGAGACACAGTTTGATTAATAGCATCTTGTTTCATCACAATGTGTACACAAGGATCTAATGATCTGAAGCCATACCACTATGTGCCTATGCTCAAAACAGACCTTTGAAGTCAGACAAGGCATATTACTCAAATGCAAATTCAAACAGAATTCACTGTGAATATACCTTAGAAGGCAGCAGGGGAAGAGCTTGGTCTAAGTCTTACTATATATGCACAACAAGTGGTATTTCAACATTTGTCCTGGCAGCATGGGCGGACCACTGTGCAGCAGCGATGTCCTGGTTTGAGAGAAGCTAAGGAGCACAGCCAGTTAGTCAACAAAAGCACTGTGTGTGTGTCTCATTTTTACACCAAACAAACAATTGGATACTTAATAATGTATGGTTTATCATATCATAAAACATAATTTACTTTTTACATGGTTTTCAGATGTGTCTGCCCTCTCTGAGTCTGTGCCCCAGCCTGGCTACCCCACCCAAAATTTTCTAGATCTGTCCTTGCCTGGCAGCACCGGTCAGGACTATGACAAACATGTCTAACCATCTATAATCAGTGACTGATCAATTATTAGACAAATCCCTGGTTGAAATTATAGCTTTAGGACACTGCCGATGTCTAATCTATCAACAGTCTCCTGACCAAATTATGAAAATAAGACTGGTTTAGCTGGAGTCTTAGTTTGACCCTGCACAAAAACAGCCTGCTACATTTACATTACTCTTCACTGTTCCAGTTTATCTCAAATCACATAGCAGTTGCTGTATCCAAATATTGAGAAAGTTACATTTGCTTGCAGTTTTTCGTGAGAAAGCGTAAAGTAATTATGCACCTAAAAATCACTAATTGTGTTTTGGTCCAGCTCCAATCAGGGTTTTCTCTCAGCTTGGGAACCTGAGCCTGTTTAAACTCCATTAGCACATCCAGCTGCCACTATTTGAGAATGTAGCTCAGGAATATGATAGTTAGGCAGTAAAGGGGTGCATTGGGATGCTATCTGTCTTCTTTTATCACCTGTCCTCTTGCAAGCATTCTGCCTGAGCTATCCTGAAACCTAACTGGTCTGCATAGTCTCCTCTGTGGTTTTATATCTGTCCATTATCGGCCCTGTCCTATTTATCTCCACATTTCTTCAATGCATGTTGTCTGATGAACAAATCCTGTTTGTACTGAACCATTTGGAGTGATCCCACTGTGAAAAAGAATACACAGAGGAAAGAAACAGAGGGAGAAGTGAGATGGGCTTCTGCGCTCACAGACAGGGAGTTTGGTCTCTATGATACTTGAACAACCCCCCTGCAGTGTTAAAAATAACCATCTCTTCATCTAACTGACCAGACAGACTGGGACTTTGAGGGAGTATTATCTCTCTGGAGTTTGTTCAACAACCAGGCAGACAGACAACACAAACACATACATACACATGCACATACAAACAGATATGAAAATACAAGCACAAAGATAAAGAAAGAAAACACTAACATGCAGATATTATGTGAAGCAGACAAAGCTGATACCATTATATTCACCAAGCAACATTCTTGGCAAGTTTGATTCTTGGACATTTTATGTTTTTTTGTGACTGTTTTAACGCTCCAGACTTATTGCTTTTATGCTTCACTTTGACCACATTCTCTCACCACATCACTGGTGCAGTATATAAAAAGATAAACCTGATACTTGATCATGCACCATGCTTGCTAGAGTTAAAGTTTAAACTGGCTGCGGTTAAATATGTGACTCATCTGAAAAGTAAACAAAAATGTTTGCAAGTAGTTTTGACTTTAAGAGCAAAATGATTTGTGCTTTTAATTACATCTGTTTATTCCTTTTAAAACAGGATTTATAAATTAGTTTGAAATGCTACTTTTCAG